AATGAGGACAACTCCAAGTGTGTATTAACAGTTTTTAAAGTTTTGTGTTTTTAGTAAAGCAACCTATTATTATTATTATTATTGTTGTTGTTGTTGTTGTTGTTGTTTTTTTTTTGTCAGTCAGTTTAACAATATTTTGTTCTGCAGATTTAGCGATCATCCTACGCTGAATGACCGATACCTGCTTTTACGTTTACTGGGAAGAGGTGGCTTTAGTGAAGTTTTCAAAGTAAGCATGTACCATGTACATAGTTGCTTATCTGTATTCGTAGGTTTTAGTTGATAACTTCAGGTTTCAACTCAATGTGCTTGTGGGATTTGGAACATTTCTGCATGTCATAAACGGCTGTCTCATATCCTTTTAATGGAACTGCACAGCTCACTGGCTGCACTCTTATTGAATTGGCTTATAATTGGTTTGCAGGCTTTTGATTTAGCAGAGCAAAGGTATGTGGCCATTAAAATCCATCAACTCAACAAGACCTGGAGAGAAGAGAAGAAAGAAAAGTACCACAAGTGAGTCTGAAACATTTCATGAGCCTCGACTCAGTTCTGCAGCATCACTGATGTTTAACTTACAAAGCTGACACTGTTTAAATGTTAAATTTATAACTAACTAAATGAATTGGTCTTTTCAGACATGCCTGTAGGGAGTACAGGATTCACAGAGAGCTCGATCATCCTAGAATAGTCAAACTTTATGACTATTTTCCAATTGACAGAGACTCGTAAGTTCATCCATCTGTTAATAATTATGACCTGTCATTTAAAAAACTTATCATTGGCTTTACAGTGGTAACTAAAGAACCTGGGTGGGGATTGACTAAAACTCATTTTTGTCAATAAAAATTTATTATACACTCATAAGGAAAATGTTGTTTTTTTTWAATTCTGTATTGCTGCAGATTGAATCTAATGTGATGCATTTTTCAGGTTCTGCACAGTTCTGGAGTACTGTGCTGGCAACGATCTGGATTTCTACTTGAAGCAGAATAAATCGATGACTGAGAAGGAGGGTCGCTCCATCGTCATGCAGCTCGTCAACGCACTCAAGTATCTCAGCCAGATCCACTCACCCATCATCCACTACAACCTCAAGCCTGGTAGGCTCTCATTAATTATTTTTGCTTTCCTTCATCCTTCGTATATAATTTTACTGTTGTTTTTACTTGAACATATTCTGATCTCAGGAAACATCCTGTTGGTTAATGGGACGGCATGCGGCGAGATCAAACTCACTGACTTTGGTCCTCCCAAGTTCCTGGATGATGACAGCTACAGCTCTGCAGATGGCATGGAGCTGAGCTCACAGAGAGCAGGAACTTACTGGTACAGACACGTCTTTTGTTTAAATGAGTTGAAAAGAATTCTTCTCTTCGCATGTCAAACACACAAGAAATGTATTTTAAACTGTGTCTTACAGGTATTTACCACCTGAGTGCTTTATAGTAGGGAAGGACCCCACCAAAATATCCAATAAAGTAGATGTTTGGTCAGTGGGAGTCATCTTTTACCAGTGCCTATTTGGACGCAAGGTGACCACTCACCTGTATTACATGACGTAGATTATTAGAAATATGTTTTCTTTAAGATGATTAACTTGTTGCCATTTCTACCCCAAGCCGTTTGGTCATAATCAGTCGCAGCAGGACATCCTCCAAGAAAACATCATACTTAAAGCTACTGAGGTGCAATTCCCTCCCAAACCTGTCATCACCACAGGAGCAAAGGTATTATGTCTTTTTGTTTTAAATGCAGCCAGCTGATTGCACTCATCTCACCAAGCTTTTTACTAGGGCTGAACGATTAATCGCATTTRCGATAATCTCGCGATATGTTAAAACGAGATTTGCACAGGCTGCGATTTGACTGGTCACGTGACTTGGCAGTGAGCCAAGCGGAGCAGTGTTGCTAATAGGGTTGGGCATAATCGTATYGTCTGCAATTAATCGTCAGAAAAACATTAATCGATTATTTTTTGGCACTTGACGATTAATACGATTAATACCACCAAGCAGACTGACTGGAGATTTCCCCGGTCAGTCCGCTCGGTGCTCCTCTCTGCTTCAAATGTGACGAACATTTAAAGAAAAGTTCTGTAATTTATCTATCAACACAATTTAAAATTTGAAGTATAGCCTGAAGTCTGTGATTTTGACAGTTTGAAAAAGATTTTTACGAAGAGCAAATCTTTCCCACTAAATTGGTCATGTGACCAGGACATAAGGGTATCCAGGGACTCCAGAGAATTAATCGTCAAATTAATCGTTATCGGCTAAACACCACAATTAATCGTGATTAATTTTTTTGGCCAATATTGCCCGACCCTAGTTGCTAATTTAGCGTCGCTAGATCTAGCGGCTTTTCAGACCCCTCCAGCGCCTCTTTTTTCCCCCAAAAAGTGACTAGCGTCAAATCTGACGACTTTTCCGGGTGTGTTTGGAGACATTTAGAAGCTTTGGTGACAGCACTTCTCTCCTTTTCTCCCCCGCAAGTGGTGAGGTGAGCCCCTCCCCCTTCATAAAGCGGTCCATGCCTCGTGCAGCAGCGCGCACACACGCCCGGATGCAATCAGCTGAGAGGAGACCGCTGCAAATGAATCTTGCATGCACAAAGTTGTAACTGCTTCTGCCTGGTTTACAAAGCAGGATATAATATTTAATATAATGTTTTTTTCTCTGGTACTGTCTCTGTAAAATAAATCTCTGAACCCAGCTGTGTTTGACTCTCAGATCAGTCACTACTTCACCTCGTCCTCCTGTCTCGTGATATCTAACAATCTGCTGGTTAAATTTAAGATTATCACTAATTTAATTTATGTAATGTAGATTACGCATTAAAGTCATAAAATTATTTTTATTTCATTACGTTTAATTGCAGTTTTAAACATATTTAGTRTTTTTCTTCACTTTTTTTCTCTTTGTGAAGTTCAGACAGTGTTTAGGAAGTTCAGTTAACATGTTTAAAATCATGTTTCAT